CTCTGGTGGCACAGTGCCTAAGGCATTTGACTGCTAACCAGAAGGCTGGCAGTTCAAACCCACCAGCCACTCCTCAGAAGGAAGGTTGGGCAATCTACTTCCATAGTGATACTGCCTTAGAAAGCCAAGGAGGGGTCACTATGAGTTGGATCCAACTCGACAGCAGTGCATGCATGTGTGCAAAGTTGATATAATATTCAGCTGGTTAACTAATTTAACTGAGTATTTGAGTTTATGAATTTGCTTTAACCCCACTAAGATTATAAATTTCTTGAGATTTTGTATTCTCTATAGCAATTCTTCTCAACCCTAGCTCCACACAGAATCACATGGAGAATTTTAGAAAATACCAAAGGTTCGGACTTAATTGATCTTAGGTAAAGCTTGAATTTTGTTTCTTGAAAGTAGATGATTCTGTTGTGCAAGCATATTTGGGAATAACTACTCCAAAACAACTAAAAGTTGGTCTCCATGTTGTTTTGTTGTTGTTAGGTGACATCGAGTCATGTCCAACTTATAGCGACCCTGTGACCCCCACAGAAACACTGCCTGGTCCTGTGCCAGCTCCATGATCCTTGCTATACCTGAGCTCATCATTGTATCCACTGTGTCAGTCAGTCTTGTTGAGGGCCTTCCCCTTTTTTGTTGATCCTCCACTTCACCAAGCATGATAGCCTTCTTCAGAGAATGGTCCCTTCCAACATGACTGTAGTAGGTGAGATGAAGTCTGGCCATTTCTCACTTCTAAGGAACATTCCAGCTGAACTTCTTTCAGGACAGATCTGTTAGTTCTTTCAGCAGTCCATGATACCTTCAGCATTCTTCGCCAAAACCACAACACAAAAGCATCACCTATTCTTTGGTCTTCCTTATTCATTGTCCAGCTCTCATATGCATATGAAGTGATTGAAAATACCATGACTTGTGTCAGGCACACCTTAGTCCTCAAGGAGATATCTTTGCTCTTCAGCATCTAAAAGAGATCTTTTGCAGCAGATTTGCCCAATGCAAATCTTTTGATGTCTTGACTGCTGCCTCCACTTGTGTTGATTGTAGAACCAAGTAATATTAAGTCTTTGATGACTTCAATCTTCTCCATAGTGGGTCTCCATAGTGACTTTTTGTTGTTACAGTTCATTGTTTAAATGACTAGGATCTTTTACTCTTAAAATTATTCTCCTTGATTTTGGTGATATATGTATGGGGTGGAGTGAAGGACTATCATTTTATAAAATGAAAATGACCATAGGTGGTAGGTTTGCCACTTCTGTTCTTATGTGACAAAAATAATAATAAAAAAAAAGGTTGGACTACTGGTCTGTAAAATCCAAGAGTCTGTGACCTTACATTTCCTGATACTTGGACATTCAATAAATACTTTTGAACAACTATTATTCAGTAAAATAAAATAATTAATCCCCCTCACTAAAGATTCTGTGCATTTTGGATAGAAACAAAATTGGCCTTTTTATGCCCCTTGTATCATTCATCTTACATACAGAAAACAGTGATAGAACAGTTGTAGTTTTAAAAGAGAATTAAGACTGTTAATACAATGTCCAGAACTCACTGAGAAGAAAATCTTAATTGGATCAGTAAAGAAAGGAGCTAACATTTATTGGATCCTGTTACTTTCTAGGTACTGTGCTAGGTGATTCATAAATTGTCAAATTATAAAAAGCTCTTAAGATTTCTGATACATGTAACTTCACCTTTTCCCTGGAATAACAAGTAGTAAATTGCCAAAGGAATATATGTTAACTTAGGAACAGGATAAGGAAGAAATAAAGTGACTGCAATTTTGATCTGTGAGTCCTAGGAGAATCTTTTGAGTCTTACCTGTTTCCATTCCCAGTGCTTGGCTCAAGTGCTGGCACACATTCAGTAGATGAAAGGCTGCCAGTGGTGGCATGTTAGAAGAGCTGGTAGAAAGCTATGCAGATTAAGAAAGGACAGAGTAATAGTTGAGGCGCTCTGGTGGCATAGTGCCTAAGGCTAATCAGAAGGCTGGCGGTTCAAACCCACCAGCCACTCCTCAGAAGACTGGCCAATCTACTTCCGTAGAGATACTGCCTTGTAAACCCAAGGAGGGGTCGCTGCATTCAATCGACAGAGTAATAGTTTGGATGTAAGTTTGATTCCAGGAGACAGCACATCTGCGGGTTTCCACTGGTTGAAGCCCTGCCATATGGATAGAGTAGAAGTAAAAAATGGAAAAAGACTTCATTGGTTTATAATAGGGTAGCTCAAAAGATACCAACCCTGTTCTTTGGAACCAGCTTTACAAAGTAATTAACCTCACTGAACAATTAATCTTAATTTTGTCTTAAGAATTTACTTGAGTGAATTTTTATCCCTGTATAAAAATCAACATTACATCTGAAGGAAGTAGTAACACAGAAACATAAGATGCTCCAGAAACTGGATTTTGGGCTATTTTTGGGCCACCCACTATTAGTGTGTGCTGTGCCCTGTAATGCAGAGGAGATTGCATATATAGTCAAAGAAGACTGGAAAAAAAAGATCAGATCAGGGAGGAAGAATTGTTACCTTTACTCTGTCAACAAGGAGGAACCATTAAAGATCTCTGCTTTGATATGGTAGTATAATAAATCCTACTTTTCTAGGAGCAATGTACCATTAGATTATTTTCACTAAGAAAAAATTTAAACTCTTAGAACTATTTTCGATGGTCAACTTCTTCATTTACACTTAATTCAGACAATTTAGTACCAAGTTCATATATATTCCAAGTTCTGTGGTAGACACTTACCCATTCTACTTGGATCTCAGTGGGAAAAGCAACCCTCTTAAACTGCCCCCTCTCCATTTTTAAAGTTTTAAATACTGGAAATGCAAAAATTAAAATTAGCAATATATTAAAATGTTTCAAAAACAGCCCTGTGAAAAGCCTACTTCCCACTCTTGTCCTTTAATACAATTGTCTTTCCAGAAAGCAATGTTTCTGTGTATCATTTTAGGGACATTCCACAAAAGCCTAAGCAAGTATGGGTATATTAATTTTTTTTTTCTTACAAAAATGGTAGCACACTATAAACTATGTATCTTCTCATAACCATTATATTCAACCTTCCAATTTCCTGCATTCTTCCTTTGACCTACCTCTTGCTTTAGTCTCATCTTTCACATACTCTTGACAAATTTCTCTAACCCCTCATTTCCTATGTATTACAAATCACATAAAATAATAGTTGCAATTGATATTACTAGAATTGAAAGCAGAATTTCACATTAATTTCTTTCTCAATCTCTTCTTAGCTAGTACCATTAGTGTAGTTTTGCTGGATCTTAATTCTGCTAGCCAAGCCAAATATTTAATGTACGCATTAACAATGCATAACAAAAAAGCAAAAACAAAACAACTTTTATATTACTGAACTTTATGTACAAAATCATTTGATTTCAAATAAACATTTAATGTAAAAACAAACGTTCTTTTAAACGGAACTTTTTTTTTTTTTTTTACATCTATTGTACCATTCAAATGTTTTATCATCTTACATGATTTCTTCAAAATCTCTTATCAAGGGTACATATAGAAAAGCATTTTTTTTTTATAAATAGAAACAAAGGGATTTTTTTCAGCTTTTATTATAAGATGACATAAAAAGTTTACTCAACAAAAGTAATTTCATTACTATTTGGGGGAGGGAATTGCCAACTTTTTGTGCAAACAATGCTAGCCTTCTTTTAAGCATTAAGAGCATAACTGCTTAAGAAATGACATAAGCAATTCTACACCTACATCTCCCCTAAAATAATCTATTTTTGTTTTCTTTACAATATGTGCACAGCTTTAGCAAATTAAAGCCCGAGAGAAATGCTTGAGATCCACTATCCAGAGGCATTATCAGAATTGACTGTAACTCATTTGGAGAGCTTACCAAATCAAGGAGTCTGTAATGAAAGCTGCAGTTTCCCTCTTCCCTATTTTTTAACACAAAAATCAATGACTAAGAACTTAATACTGGATGACAAATCACATCCACATTATTAGTTAAATAGTCTCACAGTTAAACACATCTTAAAGACCAATCAGTATTTACATTTTATAAATTTCTGAAGACACCATTAGAAAGCTTATATATCCCTTCATTAAACAAAATAGGGAACTGCATCTGATGGTGGTGGAATGAAATTAAAAAATTAAAAATACCTGTATTTACAGCAGCATTGATCCTTTATAAATAAAGAATATGAAAATGCAATATCTTTAAGGATAATAAAAAATTGAGGTGATGTTACTCAACCACAGTGCTTGGAGTTGGAATAAAAACCTACCTATTGGTGCTTGTTAATGTGCCAGTAGTGAAACCACTTTCCGTTGGAGAAAATCCAACTGCAAATATGTGCATAAAACACAGGGCAAAATTGCTCAAAATGATTCAAGTCAGCTTATGTACTGGATATTCTAATCATGAAATACATTAAAGACATCCTTGCCAAAAAATAAAAAAGGGAGGGAGGGAGGGGGCCATAATATTTTCTGGTTCATTTTTATAGAACATTTCCCCCTTGAAAGTGGCATCTTAAAAAATCTCAAAATCATTCTTCTCTTGGTTTACAATCCCAATGAAAAGATGTGGACAGCTGAATTTTCCATATGATTATCTAATTGAAAAAGAAAAACCAGAAACAGCAAAATGTTCAAGTTTAAAAGAATATACTGGGTGAGCAATACACTAAAATTATCCACATAAAAACAAATGGTCAGTAACTATATAAACCAATATGGCATTTCACTGTCAACAATGTGAAAAAATTAACATCTCAAACAGGCATAAGACAAAGAAGTGCTATTTTAAAATTGTAAAATGAACATATTTAATGTAAAAAAATCTGATGTAAGTTTTCATTCCAAATTGTTAAATGATTTCAAAATCAAGGACCAAGGGTTGATTGCAAAGAGTAATCCAACATAATTTCACAAAAATTTCCATTTTTTTAAAAAGGGAATCACATTCCAATTTTTCTTCCCCAAGAAAATGTCTCACAATTACAAAGTAGAAAAACAGCCGGTCACAAATGCAAAGATTATAATTTAACTATATGAAATAATTCCTAGATTATCAATTCAATATATTTCATAAGACAGCTGCTAAAGTTTAAAAAAACTTTTTGAAGTATTGCTTTCCATGCTTGAACTAGAGAATGTTGTAATGACATCAATAAAACTCATACACATGTAATGCTTGCATAATGAAGTGAAGAAGAACCCTGATAGCAGTATCCTTGTTGAAATCATTTACTTCATCTAGCAGTGCCTGTTTGGAACCTATGATTAAAACCAAAAAAACCACTCTTCCTAGAGGCTGAATCCTCTAGAATGCAATTTCAGTGTTTGTCCAAAATACGGGGTCAGGCCTTTTCAGAGTTTTTGTTTTTTGCTCTGTTTTGAAACCCCTGAGACTCCATCTGTTTCCAAAGCTTTCTCTTTTAAGTTAATTTCACTAAATCCATTTGCTGTCCCATTTTGTTCTTCTGTAATTTCTTCATTTGCAGGGGAAGCAGATTCTCCTTTTTCTAATTTTTGCTGCATTTCACGGAGCTTGGTAACAGCTTTATCTATTGACATTATGCTAATAAGATTAAAGTCATGCATGCTGACTAAATGAAGCATGAAGTTTCGACATAAATTCTTCTTAATGATTTTCTGTCCATAATTTTCTACAAACAGCATACAGGCATGATTCATTTGATTGTCAGCAATAAACCTGTATAATGAAAAAAACACAAGACATTAACTGTGATGCCATACATTTATATCAAATGCAATAGTCACAACCATTACAGAACAGTAAGCAAATATCCAAGTCTAGTAAGTGATGATTTAACAAGTACCAAAACTATAGTGAAACTGAGATTCTATCACTTGAATGAGCTTATTATTTTAGAAATTTAAAGAGATTTAATCTAACCTGAGCTTATTAGCCAGATGCCCTTAGAATGCTGTTGTTGTTGGGTACTGTCAAGGTAATTCCAACTGATAGTGACCCCATGGGAGAGAGTAAAACTGCTCCATAGGGTTTTCTTGGCTGTAATCTTTATGGAAGCAGATTGCCAGGTCTTTGTCCCGCAGAGCTCCTGGGTGAGTTTGAATCACCAACCTTTCAGTTAGCAGCCAAGCATTTTATCACTGTGCTACCACCAGGGCTCCTTGCCATTGGAATAGTAGATATAATGTTTTTCCTAATGGAATTATAAACAGCAATCTTAAAAGTATAAAATATTTAATCCTGCCACCACCACTTCCATTAACTCTATATACACATGAACAGTTCCCTTTTATTCTCTCCTTTGTTCTTGCCATACTTTCCTATTAAAGCAGCAGTGCTTCTCTACATATTCAATTCATGGCAAACATTTGAAAAAACAGAAATATCACACCACATGATGCTATAGTGTAGTTGTTTTAGTGGAAAGCCAGTGGGATGTGGATGAATAAAACTTTGAGAACCAAGTGAAACCAAACCAAATCTAATTCATTTACCTAACTGTCACTATATATAGAACCCCAATCGTTACTATGCAACAGATTTGGATCAAGGAACAAAAACAGAACTGAATAAAGTAATCTGACTAAAATTACATCTTAAAACTGGCATTCAGAATAGGACAGAGGTTAGGCAAACTTTTTCTGTAAAAGGTTAGACAGGAAAAATTTTAGGCTGTGTAGGCCACACATTATCTCTGACGTTTTAAAAACAACCCTTTAAAAATGTAAAAACATTCTTGGCTCAAAGACAGTATAAAAACAAGTTATGGGCCATGCACCCAGACACCTGGACTAAAACTTACACACCAACTCCTCTTCACTCCTCAACAGTAAAGAAACAAAAGTAACCTTCTCATTTACCTCAATGATCTATAAATGAAAAAACCCTGGATACCTGTACTACAGAAGAAAACGTTAAGTGACATTTCAAATAAAGAAAGTAGGTTAAAAAAAAAAACCAAACCCGCCCCATTGCCATGAAGTCGATTCCGACTCATAGTGACCCCGACTGGGTTTTCAAAGCAGTATATCTTTACAGAGGTACATTGCCAAGTCTTCCTTCTGTGGAATGGCTGGTGGGTTTGAACTGTCCAACCTTCTGGCTAACAGTCAAATGCCTTGGGCAAGAAACATGTATATTGACAGGTAAATAGTTCACACAGGGAAGAAACCACAAAGTCAGGCAGGTAAACGTAGAATTTTTCTACTTTGAAAAAATAGCAAAGGAGAAATCAGAAAGGCCACTTATATTTTTTTCTGGTAATCAAGCAACTCTAAAACATTGTGGTGATAACTGTGATAAGTAGTTTTAAGGATTTCCAGACATGTTGCATACAGCTTATTATTTTAATATGCCCTGGAATGAAAATTAGGTAAAGGCATCTTAATCTAATGAGCTTTCAGAAGTTATTCTGCCTTTATTATTAAGTATTTATTATTAAGTAACAATAAATGAAAACATTTTTAATGTAAACACTGAAAGAAACCTGAGGCCTGTTTTACAGAAATTAAAAATAAAACTCTATTCTTAGATAGAATAGTACATATTCTTTGAATATCACCAATATCCTACCAATATGCAGTAGAATGCATTATCACCATTATGCAGTAGAACACACTTTGGGCTAAGATAAGATTTGGGAACATGCATGTAAATTAATGGAATTTTTGGTAAGATTCTGACAAATTTATACAATGTGAAGCAGCAAGAGTATACAAGTAAACAGAGTATTTAAATTAATTTAGAAATACCCTACCCATGCTTCATGACATGGAGATTCCATAATTTCATCACTTCTTTCTCTCCTTCATTAACATCAGAAAATTCTTCAATTTGCTTTAAAAAAAAAAAAGCAAAACCTATTAAATGCATAATGACTTTAACTAGTATTTCTAAGGAAAAAAATGTGATAATGTAAAAAGAATGTTCTGCAAGTAAAACTACTACAATTTCTTTATATAAAAGGCAACATTTCTTAAAATGAACTTAACTTAGGAAATAGTTTCCTATAAATATACAGTCTTGTGCTGCATAACATCCATTTGGGCAATGTGTGACTGCATATACATCTGTGGTCCCAACCCCCATAAAGCCTATTATATATTAAAACTTTGAGGTACATACAATGGTTTATAATAATAAACAGGTTCTACTTTACAACCTGCATCAAAACATTATTATTTTTATTACTGCCAGGTTAAAGATGTTTTGTGTATCTGGAAGTGTTTGATGCATAAAAATGTTTATTATACATTAAGGCAAGCATCTAACTGATGTTAGATACTAACTGTTCTGACTTAACATACAAATTCGACTTACAGACAGACCTAGGAACAAAACTGGTTCATAATCCAGGAAATGGCTGTAAATAACAGGGTGTTTATGCAATGTCCAAATCACATAATGTCCTACTATGTGATGCATAACTATATATATGAAAATACATAATTCAAAGTCACACTAAGAAAATCTTTCTTTCCTTTAGTTGATTACCTTTTAAATGGCACAATTACAAAAATGTATGGGTTCTTGAATTCCTTAATTTAGGAAAAGCTATTTTAAGTCAAAAGTCTAATTCCCATTAAACTGCTAACAGTTTTCAACAAAATTCATTTAATCATAAAATCCTACGATCATTGCTAGTAATGATAGTAATAATTACTGTAATAGTTTTTTCTCTTAGCCATTCAGGATCTTTTTCATCTTCACTATCTACTTCCATTTCTTGTGGACGGAGCGGTAAGCAGGTATCACTATGGAAATACAGGCGATTGTGTCCACTACTGTATGTTCGTTGCTGTTCTACTTCTCCATCTTCAGATTCAAGAAATTCAGACATGCTTGCTTTTGTTCGTTTTGGCCTAGTGAAAAGAAAGAAACTTTGATGTAATGTGGTATCTATATCATGTATACATGTGAATTGAGAGTTACAAAAATATGACAGTATTACCATTTCATAAAACCAACCAAAAATCAATTCTATTTGAGGCAACTCTGGGGGTAAATAAAGTTATAATAAAGATTATTTTCTTTCTGTACATAATGGGAAGCAGTACTATTATATAATCAATTTAAACACCAAAGTATTAAATTTGTCTTTCTGGGTTTGAAAAATAAACCTAGAAAACAGAACATCATTAAGAAAAAAAAAAAAAGGAAGAAGGGCTAGTTAAATCACAGGAAAATATGCTTATAGTCCTCTATTATCTCAAAAATGTGTATCCTAACACATTTAAGTATATTCACAAAGCAGAAAAACCATGACTAATTATAGATAGGTGTATTTTTTCTAGTTTTACAATAATAGATTCCTTTTTGTAACTTTAATCTCAGTAGTCAAGCTGCTGCCCTGAATGTACCACTGTGATTATAAAGCCTAACAGAAGGAAAACGAGTCCCAGAAACAGCCTAGATGGGTCCTATCATGCAGAATACTAAGTGCTGCAGCAGGCTGCTTTGTATTTCACACTAACCAAGTGAAGTCCATCCTTTTGCAGGTTCCTACCTAGGTATATATACAGCAGCTTCCACTGGGAGGAGTCATTAATTACACTAACCAATGTAGCAGTAGTGACATCAGCAGTTAAAACAAAGGGAAAAGCTGTAAGGAGGTGAGAAAGCACTTTTGGAAATAAGAATTAGGCAGGGTGACAAAGCATTAAACCACCCCCAGAGAGCCAGAAATGAAAGAATACTGCGCTGGTGATGTCTACCTAAATAGTGCCAATGTTTGGCTCCCTTCTGGTTCTTCCAGCGTCAACAGTCAGAATGAACTGTTGTTTTATGGCCTTTTTCACCCACCTGCATACAAGTATATGTGTGATAGGAGTTCTCTTTACTGGTCCATTTCGACTAAAGGCAAATCCAGGCTGGCGATGAATATCCTGAGGATTTCCCGCATAGGAGCCATCATAACACTCATTGATAGAAACATCTATCCTAGCACCTTTTGGATGATACTGTAACAAAAATGGCAAGGTGTTTAGGAAAAGAAACAATCATCCTACTCTAAATGCCTATTCTTCCAATTTAGTTAATTAAGAAGTATTTGTGGATTCCTAAGTTTGAAGCTTGAAACGGGCCGGGTACAGCAGCATGATGAATACAAAAGAGACCTAGGACCAAATACCCGTTTGAAATACTAACTGTGCCATTTATTAGCCTGGTGACTTTATGTAAATTATTTCTTGCACAATCAAGAATGAGGGGGAAAAAAAAAAAAAACTCACTGCCTCTGAGTCGAATCCAACTCATAGCGACCCCTCCTTGGGTTTCCCAGGCAGTATCTCTACAGAAGTAGATTGCCCAACCTTCCTTCCAAGGAGTGGCTGGTGGGTTTGAACTGCCAGCCTCCTGGTTAGCCGTCACTGCTATCCAGGCACTATGCCACCAGAGCTCCCAGAATGAGGAAAATACCATGTAATTCAAAAAGACTGTGTGAGGATAATGTGACTCAATATATGTGCAGTAGTCAAAGGTTAATTATTATCTCAAATACAAGAATTTTTCTACAAGAAAAATTTTGTTACTTTTTCACAAAGGATAACATTTTTAAGTCAGGTTATCTTATATTTATTGTATTATATTTTAATAGTAAGAAAAAAGTGAGAAGTTACTCACAACGTAATTGAAAATAAATCTGCTATGGCAGAGTTTAAGATGCTTGAGTAAACTATAAAGTTTGCGGCAGTTCAGAGTGCACCAAGGACAATGCAGATCATCTCTTGCTTCGGTTTGCTGTCTTGTATTGTTATTATAAAGGAACTGAACAGGGCAAAAAAAAAAAAAAAAAATCAGCAAATTCCCAACTTTCACATCTCAAAATACATTTCAATCTCTAAAAGGAATTTAAAAGAAAATCTAAAAGGAAAATTAAGTTGGAGATTATCTTTTTATTTAATATGCCAAAATATTTCACATAACATACAAAATCATTATTTTCATGATTATGTAAAAAGAATCAGCTATGTTTACCTGATAAAATATTCTTAATTTCTGTCGGTTTTCATTTGAAGTATCTTTTTCCTTTCTTGTTTGCAGATCTGTAGTCAGTGATTCTTTAACAGCTGAAAATATATACTTTTGTATTTAATGAAAATGTTTGCTTCTATAGTTAAATAATATATCCCACCAAAACTACTAAACACAAAAGGTTTCACAGAATTCTAATTGTGCTATTTAACCCAATTATTGTTCTCATCGTAACTGAAGATCACAGAAACAACTCCTTAATCAGCACTCTTAATTAAATGTTACTATCTTTATTGGCAGGACCTTTTTTTTTCCCCCCCTTTAAAAACCATCTCCTTTGTCCGAATCCATTATAAGAGTAACCCAAGTAATTATATATGGTCACTATACTAAGTATTAAGCATTTTGAAGGCCAGAATGTGATTTTGGTTGGTCTTTGTATTCCTGACATCAACAATGAGCAGGCACCCACTAAGTGTTGATCTAACAGGAATTAAGTAAAAACTGATTGCATGAAAATAACTCCAAATCCAAAAGATAATCACTGAAAATAATTTTGGCATATTTCCTTTCAGACCTAAGAAAAAATGGTTTTACTGACATAACTCTTTCATATGTACAATTAAGTATAAAACTTTTCTTAGCATATCATAAATAATTTTTTCATTGGACCAATTCTTTGCAATTCTTACGTCTATTTGAATGGTTCCAGAGTATTCTGAGACATGCTAGAACTATAATTTACTTGGGAAATCTTTTCCCTGACATGGCCACTGTTTTATATCTCTTTAATCTCACCTAAATTTAAAGTTTCCTGCATACAATGAATGGATATGAACGGTCAACGTCAAAGACAACTGTCTTAAGCCTTCTGCCTTCTTTAAACAGACTTTGATAAAAACAGCTTAGATGCTCTCAGGTCAAGGACAATGTTCCTTATCAGGCAGATTCAAAATGACTGAAACACTGCAACTAGGGCCTTAACTCACGAGAGAATCTTCCTCTTAAAAAACATAGCATTTACTATAAAAATTACTGAATAAAATTTAGATTATAATGATTCTCTTCTAGCCCTGAAATTTAAAAAATACTCTAGAATATGGAATTCAGTGCTACCAACATATATAATTTTGTACATGAATTACTAAATAGTTCCAAAACTCGTTTTAGCAATTCAAAAACCTAAAAGTTCGGAAAACCAAGCATTTGTAGTAAGTGTGTGGCAAATTTATTTAGTGGAAAAATCTGTCCTAAATTAATATGAAACTACTTATAGACTCTACTTGGAAGTGTTATATATGGCATATATACAGTCATGTATTGCATAAAGTCCATGATAACCAAAAACAACCAAAACCACTGCCATCAAATCGATTCCAACTCATACAGACCAGATCTGCACTGACTTCGCAAGGCAGTAAATCTTTACAGAAATAGATTGCCCCATCTTCTTCCATGGAGTAGCTGAAGGGTTTGAACCACCAACCTTCTAGTTAGCAGTCAAATGCCTTAGGTACCATACCACCAGAGCTCCTTGGACATAGTGCAAGGACCGTATTATATACAGGCGGTTCCTGGATTATGAACAAGTTCTCTTCCTAAATCCATCTGAAAGTTGAATTTGTACGTAAGTTGGAATAGTTAGGCACGATTTGTATCTAATGTTAGTAAAATGTTCTCTGAGTATATAGTGTACCTTTCTATGCATAGAAAACATTACAGAAACAATTCCAGATACATTAAAACATCTTTAACATAGCCCTGCAATAGGAGACTTGGAAGAGGTGTTAGTGAGCCCCGATGCAGGAGCCTGGATTATTGCCATTACGGTGAAAAGCCAACAACATATTCAAAGCAATGCAGTCAGCCCCCATAGTTAAGGTAGGCACCGCTGTTTCCAACTCAGCCAGGCAAGAGATTTCATTGTCATGCAGTGTACACTGCCCTTGTTTTCTAGGAGGGAGATTAAGTCTCTAATGGTGTTGACAAAGAGATTTTCCCGTTCGGTTACTATTCTGGGCCAGCCACATTCAGGTCCATTCCAGTTTGGTTTTCCTGGCCATGACAGAACTGGGAAAAATCAGTTTAAAGCCCTGGTTATTATGAACCACTGTACGTACCTCAAATTTGTAATATATTGGGCTTTATGGGGGTTGGGACCACAGCTGTCTATGTGATTAGGATGCTGCCTGAACAGACGCATGACTGTATACTGTTGTTGTTGTTGTTATTATGTGCCATCAAGTAGGACATGACTCATAGTGACCCCTCCTTGGGTTTCTGAGGTGGTATCACTACGGAAGTAGTAGACTGCCCAACCTTCCTTCCGAGGAGTGGCTGATGGGTTTAAACCGCCAGCCTTCTGGTTAGCAGCCAAGTGCCTTAGGCACTATGCTACCAGAGCTCCTGACTGTATATTATATACCGGAAATAAAACCAAAACTGTCATTGAGTCAATTCGACTCACAGTGACCCCTACTTGGGTTTCTGAGGCAGTATCTCTACAGAAGTAGATTGCCCATTCTTTCTTCCAAGGAATGGCTGGTGGGTTTGAACAGCCAGCCTTCTGGTTAGCAGTCAAATGCTTTAGGCACTAGGCCACCATAGCATATTATATTTCTAAAGAAAATTAGATACTGCCACACACATTAACACAAAGGTTTAGAATACAGGATTTATCAATCAGGACTTCAACACAAAACTTAACATTTAATATACAAGAACCCTAATTTACTCATAGTTTTGTTTAATAAGTCAAATACTACTTCCTAAAAAATAATTACATGAAGAAAAAGACTGACATAAATATACTAATTCTGCAAACTTTTACTTTGTTAGAAAGATGTTTACTTACCAATAGTTTGAGTAGGTTTAACTGAACCAGGCTTGTTTTCTTGATGTAGACTCTCTGAGTTTCTAGTAGCAAGAGGCTTAGCAATAGGAGCTGTGGATTTATCATTGGTCTCTCCTGTCCAACGAAGAGTGAACTGCAACGTAGGTCCCTGAGAAAATGTTTCAAATGGAGGCAGCCTCTAAAAAAGAAAAAAACATGAAAAAAAAATGAAGATTCATATAATAAAGTGCAATTATACCAATAAATAAATATATATATATATCCATTATGGTAACTGAAATCAAGACTTTCTTTGAAAACCCAAATGCCTACAGTGATGGCTAGGTAAGTTAAATAAATATATGGAGTAGCAGACACTGCAGAACTAGAGAATTCAGGCTATCTAAAAGAGACAGCCACTTATTAGCAATAGCTAAATTATTGTCATATGTAAATATTGGCCTAATACAGCTAAATTTTCAGATTTTTCATAAGCCAGAAGTCCAACTTTACATGGGAAATCTTTCAATTTTAAAATGTGGGCAGTCAACTCACAAAGTCTTTGAAAAATCTGTGGTATACAAAACCTGCCAGTTTGCAACCTCTGTTTTTCAGTGACCGACTTTTTTTTTTTTTTTTTCGCAAAGCGAACACTTTTGGAAATTAGTACTTTTCCTTGATTTCTCCTAGCTGCATTGACTATGACTATTATTCTTCTTTGGTTTTGGGACACTGAACTATCCCTTGCTTTCTTCCTCTACCTCTTTATAAGACAACTCTTCTCTTGGTCCCAATTCCTAAACCATTAGCCATCTGCCACAATCTCTTACTTATCCTCTTCAAGTTCTGTCTTGGGCTGAGGATTCCAAATTGGTTCCCCATTCTTTATAATTTAGCTCTAAACCTATTATCTGCAATTGTTTCTTAGACATTGTCACCTGGACCCAAATATATTTAGCGCTGATTCCACAGTCTTTTCTTCTAAAATAGACTTTTCTTTCCAGGTGCATTTATTTTTGTTCTTGGCATTATTATTCTACTAGTAACCTTAAACTAAACTAAGACAATTGGAATCACAGTTTGACCCTTATTCTTTTTTTATTTCTCATCACCAAGTCTTTTCTGAAATGTCTGTCATTTCTTCCTCTCCTTTCAATAATCACAGCAATGGTATAGATCCTTATTGCCTTATGAGTATAGTATTTCAGCTGCTCTCCCTGCTTTTCAGCACTTGTACTTCCGCCATGGGTTTCCGAGGCGGTATCACTACAGAAGTAGATGGCCCAACCTTCCTTCCGAGGAGTGGCTGGTGGGTTTGACCAAATAATCTTCTCATAGACTGCTTTCATGTTATTCTTTTCACTGACACCTTCAATGGTCGTTTGATGTTTTTCTTTTTTTAATAAAAGCCATACAAGACTAAACTACATCTTTATTACAAATAATCCTTTTGAAATTACAAGTTTAGACAAGAAGAAGGTAAATATGTGATCATGTAAACAAAAGGTTTTGACACAGCAAGTCCATACCCAGGAATCTAGCTTATAAAAACTATTTACAATGTAGAAATATACACATACAAATCTATTTACTACAGTATTTTTACAAATGTAAAAACATTAAAATAACCTAACTATCCATTAAAATGGGGTTGGGTAAGTAAATTATGGGACATTCACTTAAAAAGAATACCATTTAAAAAAAAAAAAAAAAAAACACCTCACTTCCATCAAGTCGTTTCCAACTCATAGCGAACACTCCTTGGGTTTCCGAGGCAGTATCTCTAAGGAAGTAGACTGCTCAGTCTTCCTTCCAAGGAGTGGCTGGTCGGTTTGAACTGCCAGCCTTCTGGTTAGCAGTCAAATGCCACCAGAGCTCCCAAAAGAATACCACAGAGCTTTTAAAAAGAACTAAATCTGTATGTCCTGAGTTGGAAGGATAGCCATTTAATTATGCTGCAAAAATTTATTTTAAAATCTCTCTATATAATAATCCTTATTTTCTCATAAACTTTTCATACTTTAAATAAGAAATTAAAGCTAAAAGATTTATAAATTCCTATAGTCAATTCAAACACTGTAACAAAAAAAAAAAAAACACCAAACACAGTGCCGTGGAGTTGGATGAGACTCATAGCAACCCTTCCTGGGGTTTCCAAGGCAGTATCACTACGGAAGTAGATTGCCCAATCTTCCTTCCAATCAAACACTATAGGATAAGTATAAAGAAATAAAAATTATTTGAAATCCCATCACCCAGAGAAGTCATATTAATTTTATAAAAATGGAGTGATGAATACTAACATGTAAAAATTAAGTATCATGGAAATGTTCTTTTCCAAGTATCATCATCATACTTTTTAAGGGCTGTTTAGAGTTAAGTTATCCTACCACCTTTATCCTAAATTCTAGATATACATGCAACTATTTCAAGATATATATCAGTGTTCTTCTTGTTTATTCCTATGCTTATACCATAGTTTAAATTCTTTTAGCTTGTATTTTACCAACTGGTTAAGTAAAGGCTCTCAGTATTACTTCTCTACAACTTTACTAAGTATTATATTTATTCTTCTTAGGTTAAGTTGAAACTAATTTTAAGACTTAAAGAAATCCTTTTGGGGGTTTTGTTTGTTCAGTACACTGAGTTGGAAAATTTAGAAGTAACTGACATCTTTATTTTCTTGAGTCTTCCTATCAAAAAAAAAAAAATATGTATGCCTATTTATTCTCTTAGTTCTCTTGGCAGAGTTATTTTAGGTATGCTTCATCTAAATTCTGCAGATTTCTTGATAAATTTATTACTAGTCATCGCACGTTACCTGCTGCTATGACCAGGACTTAAAATAGTAGCAGTAAACATTTATTGAGCACTTATGTTATGCCAGGCACAGTGCTAAGCCTATTTTATTATCTCATTTAACTCATCAATTCTATGCCTCATTTTACAGATGAGAAAACTAAGACATAAAGTTAGTAATTTGTCAAAACACCACATAACCCCCCCAAAAAAAAAAAACACCACATAACCAGGAAGTAATGGAGCCAGGACTTGAACTCAGTCTGGCTCCAAATGTACTGAGTAGATTATTTTTACTTATGTTTTTCAAAGTACAGAAATGAAAGACTCTTTACTTCCACATAAATTTTCATTTGACAAAGAAAATATCAATGAAAAATGGGAGTCCATGATTATAACATGCTTATTAACCTTCTAAGTAGTCCATACCTTCCCATCAAGAATAGTTTCCCATGTTGCTCTTTTCTTGCTTATAGGACATTCTTCCATTTCCTGCATGGCTACTTCATATTCCCCATCTAAAAGCTGTAAGCGCCTGTTAGACAAACATACACACTTTATAGTAACCTGTGTATTACTTTATGTACACAAATCTTACATCTTTTTTTACTAAAAAGGCTTTATTAAACCTATAAACTAATTTACATACCCAACAGAATTTTATAATATGCCTATACTCCAGTGCTAACAATAGCAATTTTACTGATTTGCACTAATAACTATATAACTAGAGAATTATTTCATTATTATATGTTCTGGTTATCTAGTGCCACTCTGACGAGAATATACCACAGATGGGATGGCCTTAACAAACTCTCTTACAGTTTGAGAGGCTAGAAGTCCGAGTTCAAAGTGCCAGGCTTTAGGGGCTGGGTGAAAGCCCCTCAACTTTGGGCTTCAGCTCTGCCTCCCACTCCCCAGCCCATTGGAGCTAGAGGCTTTTCTTCACTCAAGACAGCTGGTGGCTGCTGAGAATGACAAGCCCAAGATTGGTAAGTAAAAAGGCACAGTTCCAATGTTACCAAACCACACAGCAAGCCATTAATTCAAGTCCATTGAAAGTCTCAAGGTCGGCAGAGCATGGCAGGCTGCTCAACAGCAACACAGCTACATGCATGGTTCAAGCATGCCATAAGTTAGAGACCATTCCCAAAGCTGTTTCTTATATACGGGAAGCAGACCACATCCCTAAGGCAGCTACTCACCTGCTCACAGTAGATTCCACCATGGAACTGATTATCAGTCTCATCATGGGGAATATTATATCCAGCTGCCCAGCCATTCAACCAGACCCAACTAAGTTGACACACAAACTTAACCACCACATTATAGTTACTCAGCTGTAACTTTACACATTTTAACTGTAATATGCCTAAGGTCTCAAAACCTACTTAAGGTGGTTTTTTTTTTTTGTGATTGGGGTGAAAGTTTAAGAGCAAATTCACTTTCCATACAGCAGTTCACATACACTTTGTCTCATGACATTGACTACAATTTACCCCAATGCAACAGCTCCCCTCCCACTTCCTCCCAATAGTTAACCTCTTCCTTATGTCCATCCCTCCATGCACTCCTGCCCCTGATCTATCTCCCTGTGCATAAATAGCCCTTCTTTCTCCCATGATTGTTCTCTCCAAGGAGTGTATCTACCTCAGGTAAATGTTCAACTAATATGCCTGTCTTTTGTTTGGCTGGAAGTCACAAGTGTGGGTTCAATTCCAGACCTGAAGGGCAGCTAGGGACCGTAGTCTCAGTGGTTCCACCAGGCTCTACTGGGCCAGCAAACCTGGTCCTCATTTCTTTTTCTTTCCCCAAATGATTTTGAATTTTGTCCCACATTGTTCTCCCTCTCTATCCAGATCTCCTACATAGATTCCCCTCCGAGTGGTTGTCAGTGGTAGCCAGACACCATCTAGTTCTTCTGGTCTCATAGTCGTATAGCCTGAGGATAGCATGGTGTACCAGTTGCAAGGACTAATTGTTTCCATGAATCTTTGGCCAAAACCTACTTAAGTTTTAAACATTACGTATAAAGCATCTGTGTAAGCTTTATACTTCAAAAAATGGTATAGTGTTACAATACTTGCCTTGTTGTTGTTGTTAAGTGCCGTCGAGTCGTTTCCGACTCATAGCGACCCCATGCACAGCAGAATGAAACACTGCCTGATCCCGCGCCAGCCCCACAATCCCTGCTATACTTGATCCCATCATCGCAGCCACCGTATCAATCCATCTCGTTGAAGGCCTCCCCCTCTTTCGTCGACCCTCCACCCTATCAAGCATGACATCCTTCTCCAGGGAATGGTCCCTTCTTGCCTTAGGAAACCACTAAGTACTATTCCTGTTATTTTCAACTATTATAAATGTTTGAACTAGAATTCTTTACTACTTATACTTGACCAGTAAACTAACTGATGATTATAATGATGACTTTGATAAATATAAGATCCTAGGGGCACCTGGATCAATAAATATTTCAGGAGTGAAGAAGAAATACCAGTTGAATCCATACATTTATATCCATAATCACACATAATGTATGTACATATGTCTATATATATATATATATATATATATATGGTTTATACTTTCTCCCCCTATGGCTTTAAACACCAATAATCACTACTACCCAAAACACCATTCTTCAACCATGCTCAGTTAATAATGTTAAGTTTCTTTTCATCAGTCTTACGAGAAATGGTTAGGTGATAATAGCTAATATTTATTGAGTACTTACTATGTGCCAGACATTATTCTAAAGATTTTACACAGTTTGTTTAATCTTCCAACAACTCTATGAAGTAGGTACTATTTTTTATAAGAGAACTGAGGCACATCGGAATTAAATCTTGCTTTATTTTCACACAGTAAATGGCCAGAACTTTTAACTGAATCCAGGTAGTCTGCTTCCAAAGTCTGATTAACACCAATGGTTATAAGATTTAAGAACTTTTGTCCTTTATGTTGTTCTATTTGAATTCAGTCTACTACAATAGTATATTAGCAAACCCATTCAGCTATTTTAAAAATCTAATTTGAATTTTATTTGATTAATACATTCATATGCCTCTCACAATTAAAAAGCAATTTCCCTCATACTTTTACCCGGCTATATAATATTTCATTTTATGGCTATACATTTAATAGCAACAGTCCAATTTACTTTCCTACCTGTAATTTATGAGAAGGGCTTTTTTTTGCCCTACAGCCTCATCAACAGTACTTTATCAACCTTTTTGATCTCTGCCAATCTGACAAGTGAAAAAATTGTATCTCACTAGACTTTAACTCAGATGTCTTATCTTTTCAACTGTTCAAGAACCATGTATTTCTTTTCTTACGCATTTGATAAAATCCAACACCTATTCCTCGTTTAAAAAAAAAAAAACTCTCAGCAAAATAGGAATAGAAAGGAAATGCTTCAACATAATACAGGGCATATATGCAAAACCAACAGCCAACATTATTCTCAATGGGAGAGACTGAAACCATTCTCCTTGCAAACAAGAACCAGACAAGGATGCAGTCCATCACCACTTCTATTGCACTGGAAGTCCTAGCCAGGGCAATAAGGCAAGAAAGGGAAATCAATGGATCCAAATTGGTAAGGAGGAAGTCAAACTATCCCTGTTTGCTGATGATATGATCATATATCTAGAAAACCCAAGAGACTCAGCAAAAAAAATGGAACTAACTGAGAGATTTAGCAGATTACTGGGATACAAGATCAACACACAAAAATGAGTTGAATTCCTCTACACCAGCAAAGAGGTTGTTGAAAAGGAAATAAAGAAATCAACACCATTTATAGCTGCTACCAAGAAGATAAACTACTTGGGAATAAATCTCACTAGGGACACAAAAGACCTGTACAAAGAAAACTACAAAACACTACTTCAAGAAACCTTAAGAGATCTACATAAATGGGAGAATATTCCATGCTTGTGGATAGCAAGATCAAACTTTGTGAAAAGTTCAGTACTACCAAAAGCAATCTATACATTCAATGCAATCTCAATCCAGAGCCCATCAACATTCTTTAAGGATATGGAAAAACCAATCATTAATTTTATATGGAAAGGAAAGAGACCTTGGATAAGCAAAGCACTACTGAAGAACAATAACAAAGTAGGAGGTCTCACACTCCCCAATCTCAAAACCTACTATACAGCCACAGTAGTCACAACAGCCTAGTACTGGTACAATAGACACACAGACCAGTGGAAAATAACCGAGAACCCGGAAATAGATCCATCCACCTGTGGTCGGCTGATTTTTGACAAAGGCCTGAAATACATTAAATGAGGAAGAGATGGTCACTTTAAAAAATGTTGGCAAAACTGTCCTTTTGCAGAAAAATGAAACAACATCCTTACCTGACACCATACACAAAAACTAACTCCAAATGGATCAAAGTCTTAAATGTGAAACCTGAAACTATAAAGTTCCTCAAGGAAAAAATAGGGGCAAATTTAGGGGTCCTGATTTATGGCATAAATAGACTTTTAAGCATAACCCAGAATGCACAAAAAGCAGAAGATAAACTAGATGAATGGGATCCTCTAAAAATTAAATTTTTACGTGCTTCAAAAAGCTTCTCCAAAAAAGTACAAAGAGAACCTACAGACTGGGACAAAATATTCGGCAACAAAGTATCTGAACAAGGGCCTTATCTCTCAAACTCTGACATCTCAATATCAAAAAGACAAACAATTCAATTAAAAAATGGGCAGAAGACATGAATAGAGACTTGACCAAAGAGGATATTCTGGCAGCCACAAACACATGAAGAAATGTTCACAATCATTAGCCATTAGAGATACAAATCAAAACAACAATGAGATACCATCTGGCCCCATCACTAACAGCAAAGTTCAACAAAACAGAAATTAACAAATGCTGGTGAGGATGTGAAATGACTGAGACTCTCATACACTGATGGTGGGACTGTAAAATGATACACTTTGGAAAGCAGTATGGCAATGCCTTAAAAAGTTAAATTAGAAATAGCACTTGACACAGCAATCTCATTACTAGGTATATATCCTAATGATGTGAGAGCCAAAACAAGAACAAATATATGCATGTTCACTGCAGCACTATTTATAATACCAAAAAATACAGAAACAACCTAGATGTCTATCAACAGAAGAATGGATAACCAAACTATGGTACATACACACAATGGAATACTATGCAACATTAAAGTATAATGAAGAATCTGCAAAACACCCCATAATGTGGATGAACTTGGAGGACATTATGTGGAGTGAAATAAGTCTATCACAGAAGGACAAATACAGTATTAGTTCATTATTGTAAAAACCCAAGGAAGGTTTATATATGGAAGGAAACTTTCTTTTTTGGTTACCAGGGGTGGGAGTGGAGGAAAGGAAACACAGCAAAACATTTTCTTTAAATAATAAATTAAAAAATAAATGAATGATTCTTCTATATGTAAGCTGGGGCAGGGGAAGCACCATATATTTCTTTTCTTGCAAACTTTCTATGTATATCCTTTGCTCATTCCTTTTTGGGTTGTGGCCTTTTCCTTTTTAATTAGTATGATCTCTCTATATTAGAGGAATAAGACATGTGAATTGAAAGTAATTTTCCCCTGACTTGCCATTTTTATTTTGACTTTCTTTATGGTGGCTTTTTGTTTTCTAAAGAAGTTTTTGTGTTTGTTTGTTTAATATATTTTGCTAAAGCTTTCATATTTTCATATGTGGCTTTTGAATTTAGGAGAGACTTTAATTTAGGGAGATTTTAACCTCTCTGAGATTTTTTGTTGTTGTTGTTATTTGCCGTTGAGTCGGCCCCAACTCACAGCGACCCCTCCTTGGGTTTCCGAGGCAGTATCACTACGGAAGTAGGATTGCCCAACCTCCTTCCGAGGAGTGGCTGGTGGGTTTGAACCGCCAGCCTTCTGGTTAGTAGTCAAGTGCCTTAGGCACTATGCTACCAGGGCTCATGCAATTTTCACACATCTAGTCCTAAGATCTAGATTTTAAATACCATTCCCCTACTAAAAGGAACCAGGATTCCTTAAAGCAATGGCCAATCCCAGAGCAAAAGTAGGAAAAGGTAAGCCTGGAATATTTTACTATTCTAGAAAACAAGAAAATAATAAAAAACAAACAAACAAAAAAGATAAAAGTCAAAAGGACACAGGAGGATTCTTGGATAGCTCCTACTATTTACTTAGCACAATTTGTACCTCAAAATGAGTAACATAAATGAAATATGAAAGAATGAATACAGACTTCATTAATCCATACTGGCACTTTACAAAAAAAAAAAATGTAAGTTCAGGGAAGGAAAGCTCTTCTTCTTTTTTTTTTTTTTAATTTTATTTTTTATTATTTTTTTTTTATTTTTTAATTTTATTTTGATTTGGGTGAAGTGAAGGCTCTTCTTTAACTAATAAATGTGGAAGAAATGACAGAAAGGTACCACTTGGCAAACGTCATAGTAATTATTTAAGCAAGAAACTTCAATAGAATCTAATACCATTAGGTGAAAGATTATCAAGGAAAAAAGGAAGTATGCCCAATTTCAGATATTATCAAAGAGTACATAATAACTACAAAGGGAAATTTTACAATGGAAAAATATGGTAAATACCAATTTAACCAAGTAATCAAACTGTGTGTCTGTGATATTGCACACAAACAGATTATGACCAATTAATTTCTTGCCTAAAATGTTTAAACTGAATGTAATGAGGAAACAATGATATGAGTTCAGATTGAAAGCTGTTCAGCAAAACTACTGGTCTGTACTTAAAAAAAAAAAAAAAAAAGGTCAAAAAGGGTAAATAAAAAGGCTGGGAAACTATTTCACGTTGAAGGAAACTGGACAGATATGACAACAAGCTATAGTTCTCAATGACTGATGGAGAATAGGAGAAACAGCTTATAAAAGGCATTATAAAAATATGAAATATATAAAGTATTTAGTAATGAGGAATAAAACTAAACTTTAACTTTCAAGTGATTTAAAATAGACACACACAAAACAAAAGCAGCAAAATGTTAACACAACTGATCAATCTAGATAATGCTTATTTGGTGTGTTCACCGCAATATTCTTTTAACATTTTTCAAAATAAAAAAGTGGGGGAAATGTCTCCTAGGATTTCTTGCTATTTTTCATTAAATAAAAAAATACATATAGTTCATATGTGGAGAAAGGAAAAAAAATGTACCCCTATCCTGAACATTTACCAATTCTGATGAAGCCCTGTTTTCCCCACTGACCATTATCTTCTAGTACTTGATGATTCTGTTGGCTTACATTCAAATCTTTGACCCACATTCAAGTTTCTGACTATAAAAGATAATCAATATATGGGTTTCTACTGCATTAAGTGATATATTTTAATTCGCAAGGTAGAAGCTGAAATCCACGTCATTATTTCTAACCATCTTTGCTTTCTTTTTAATAGCCTTGTAACTTTCTTTATCTGGTGGCTGATAAGAGATTTACATTAAAATAACTAATACTTTTTAAAGAGTAAATAGGCAATATGGCCTATTTGTTTTTCTTGGCTTTCTCCTATACAGTCATGCATTCATTATATAACATCCATTTAGACAATGTCCAACCACATATATGTCTGTGGTCCCAACCCCACAAAGCCTATTGTATTAAAATTTGAGGTACATAAAATGGTTTGTAATAACAAATGGACGCTACTTTACAACGTGTCAAAACATTATTAATATATTATTATGTTAAAACTGTTTTAGTTTATCTAAAAGTATTTCTTTAATGTGTGTATGCAGAGAAAGGTACACTATATATTGAGATGAACATCTGACTGATTTTATATATGAACTGACATCATATGTTATATTAGATTTGTAGGTACAAATTCAACTTAAAGACAGACCTAGGGATAGCACTTGTTCATAATCCAGAGACTGCCTGTATATAATAGGGTGTTTGCCCAATGTGCAAATCACATAACGTTCTATTTCACAGAACATATCACAACGTTAAGCGACATATGACTGACTGTACTTGGCTGACAGTGAATTGTGTTAATAGTCAGTGAAGAAGCTATGACATGAAACCATGGTATGCCATAAATTTAATCCCCATCTTGCCAAATAAGAATAGTGCAGTTACTTCCTAGAATTTCTTTTCCTGGCCCTAAGATGCTTTATTACCAAATAGAAACTACAGAGGGGAAAGATGATTCCAAACCCCAAAGTTCTCTGCTACCCTCTGCCAAATCACATATTGCTATACAATAATGATTACACAACATTCTTCCTCAACTTTAATAAATACATAACTCCCAAGATTTCATTCAAGCCTCCCCTCAACTATTAGCTCTCTCTAGAGGCTTTTTCTACATAAAACTGTAACCATTTATTCTTTTTTCATTGTACTCACCACTAAGTTATTACAATTTTGGAGGACTGTGTTTCTACTAAGTCCATATAATTACGGGAGGACTGGTGTCTGTTTTCTCCCTCAGAATTTAAGCTCCATTAAGGCAGAGATTTTATTGCCTTCTCACTGTCTAGAATAGTGCCTGGCAAAGAGCTGACACTCAGAAACACTTGGTGAATAAACGATCTTAACCATAAGATAGTTCCTCATCTATGTTTATTGCCCTTTATTTGATAAAGAGAAAAGTCCAGGATTTACATATTTGTGGGCTTTAATCTATAAACCAGAGAAATAATGGCAAATAAATGTTTAATATCACCAATAAAGTCTTCTTCAGAATTAAAACCTTTCTAGAACATCATGGGAATCCCATTTGTTCATCAACATTACCTGTTTTTATCAAACACTGTCATTTGGGCAACAAATGTCTTTTCCCCATCTTCACGATTTCGTTTTCTTCTGGCTGGAAGTTCTTCATTCACATCTGAATTTGACAAACATTGCTCATAAATCAAATATGCAAATAAAAACTGGACATTTATGCTATATAGTCTTTTAACATAAAACATGCTACATTTACTCCAAATGAGAATAGATTATACTAAATTTAAAATATTCGTACTAATTTCAATTATGCATTTTTACCCTATTTAGCTATCCTTACTATTTGACATTCATTGACATTTACCCAGCATTTTTGCAAATGCTATTTTCTGTCTAGAAAAATCTTCCTTGCTAGGCAAATCCCTCCTCACTGATGATTACTTTTCAAGAACTTCAAAGGATGCTTCAGGGCTCACAGCATATTTCTTCCATGACACCTACCAGGCAATTAGGTGGTTCTCCACTGAACTTATGCCTCAATTATAGCACTCATCATTTTGCTGCAATTATTTATCTCACAATTATCTATGGTAGATTGTGAGCTTTGGAGGATAAGACTGTTGTTTAATCATTTTTGTATCCCCTGTACCTGTATGTTGGATGAATGATTACCTCAAAGATGAATTCAAAATTATTAGAATAGAGAGATGGATAAAGGGACAGATATATGGTAAATATATTAAAAAACCGAACTCACTGCCCTCGAGTCAGATCCGACTCACAGCAACCCCTCCTTGGGTTTCCGAGGCAGTATTTCTACGGAAGTAGATTGCCAATCTTCCTCCCAAGGAGTGGCTGGTGGGTTTGAACCGCCAGCCTCCTGGTGAGCAGTCAAATGCCTTAGGCACTATGCCACCAGAGCTCTTATGGTAAATATGTATAATAAAATGTTAATTAAGATCTAAATGTTAGCTGTATAGGTGTTTACTATAAAGTTCTTTCAACTTTTCTGTATTTTTTACATTTTTCACAATAAAATGTTTAAGAGAATTAAGATAAATCCATTGTTTGGTAAGAGATTAACTTGAAAGACTAGTCTTTCCATTTACTATTTGGTATATTTTTACTCATGAAACATTAAGTTTCATCATGCAATAATAAGATTCTAACAGATGAAATATCCAATGCAGCGCAATATCCAATAGTCTAAGGAGAAATCTACCATGAAATTATTATCTCATTTGATTATAAGAGATTTGCAAATAAAACCTATGCTATTAGAACACGTTCAGTGTATTTCTAGCACTGTACCATTTTCTTACTTGGCAAGGCAAGGCTTTAAAATAACTCAAAAAAAATACTGGTTTAATCCATTTTTATCAACAACTTTAATCTCTGATAAAATCTAGTAAAATTATTAAAATAAAAATTACCAATATTTTCATTGGTTTCTCCATTAATCATTCCATTAAACTCTCTTCTTCCCGGTCGAGTCACTCTAAATAGCAATGAGTAAGACTTCACCATATGGCTGTTACTAGGTTCAAATTCATTACTGGAAACTGCAAGGGACGGGAAATTTCCAGGTTTTGTTTGATTGAGGTCAGGATTCAAAGGCACCTGCTTTTTACCTGTGGGAACTTGTCTTATTGGACAACTTACATCCTGCAAAGGTAAAGATTATTACATTTAACTTATTTGTGTGCCTGCAATTTTAATAATTACATATTAAAACTTATGATCACTGCTATAAGAAACATGGTATAAACCAAACCAAACTCACTGCCATCAAGTCGATTCCAACTCATAGCAACCCTCACAGGGCTTCCAAGGCTATAAATCTTTAAGGAAGCAGGCTGCTTCAACTTTCTTCTGCAAAGCAGCTAGTGGGTTTGAACCACCAACCTTTTGGTTAGTAGACAAATGTCTTAACTACTGCACTACCAGAACTCCTTAAAATTCTAACCATAGTTCTGAAAATTTTAATACTACATGAAGCAAAAAGAAAATTTTGGTACAACTATATTCTAAACACTAAAACAATTGAGGGTTCCCCCAATGTAATGTATGATACAGTATATCTAACATTAAGCTGATGGTCATTTGCAATAGTTTCATAATACTAAAAATTTGATATTAAAATTATGCTTAAAATATTAAAACATTCACTTCAATTCATGTTTCCTTAATTTTTCTACTTCAACATAACAATAAATGACTACTGTAAGTGAAAAATGACTACTGACATTATACAATACTACTAAGTTCATGTATTTATGTTGTTTAATAGAAGGAATATCAAGCATCTCATGAAAAATATTCTGTTGCCAGCTAATCAGAGTTATAATGAAAAGAGCACAGAAGAAATGGAAGATGAAGATGACCTTTACAATGAGAATATAGTACATGGCAGCTTGTTTTAAATATAAGATACAGAAAAGAATGCATTTTTATGGTTTGGTTAAAAAAAACAAAACAAAACTCTACAATAGAGTATAAAATGAGAAGTGTAAAGTCACACCCATTTTCTAGGTCTTATATTCCACAAAGGAGCTCTGGTAGCATAGTGGCTAAAAGACAAAAGCTGTAGGGAATCAACTGAATTCACAGCATAAGATGCTAAAAGATAGCTTAACGACCAGCAGCAGTGCCCAACAGCTATATGAGAATGTTTTGTGTAAAGACTTAGTCAGACTAGAAAAAACGTGAAGATCTTGGGAGTTAGCAAAAGCAGTTTTCAGTTTTATTTTTAAACTATCAATGTATTTTTAAGCTTTGAAGTTTTTAAAATAGGCTTTGAAATATAACCAATATATATGCATCAACATACTCAATTATTAAGAAAATATAAATCTACCATAATCATTTGATACATTACCTTCCTTTTTTTGTGGCAAACTTTTACAAGCAGAACTTCAAGGGTAACAGAATTCTGTTCATTTTCTGAGTTTTGTGATGGTTTATCTAAACAGAAAATCAATACTTTAAAATATATAAATGGTGTACTCATTTTCATAAGACTAGGAATTTCAAGTAATAAAGACCATAAAGACTTCCAACAATGAAGCCTTCTCAAAACTCTTTTTTCCCCCAAAATCAGTTCCAAATTTTCAGCAAACTTTTTAAACTAAAATAAATTCCTTTATATAGTCATTTAAATGAACCTTTACAAGCAAGTATAAATACCTTCCTACTTACTTATTTTCTTTTGACTCAAATAAGAGGCTAAATTATTATAATTCATGCCCCCAAAATATTTACTGATTACTTCTGGTTTGAAGATTTAACATTTATGATAAAATAACATAATAAACATCTATTCAAAAGTAGTTTTCACAAATACAGTTAAAACTTCTTGGTAGAAAGCACAAACAAAATAGTTTAGGAGAGCCAACCACACACAAAATAAAGCATCTTTTTCCTTCTCCAGAAATCTAGTATTAGAAAACCTACTTAGTTAAAACACATTTACACTGAACTAACTGCTATTATTCATTCCCTCATCTGCATGTATAAAGACATGAAACTAAAGTTTTTGATTTTAACAGGACTCTAATTTGATCGTTAAGGATAAATCTTTGATTTGATCATGAGTTTCAAAGAATATGATGTATGTAATAGGTAAAAAAAAAAAATAGCTAGTCTTTTCTCTCTTCTCTAAAGCTTAAAGGAAAAATCCTATGGCTTAACCAAATTTAGGGATTTTAATTTTGAATACTAGGTTCTATAATCTCTGTATCAATTGGTTACAAAGGTTTTACAAATTAAGGTTCCAGGGTACTTCTCTACAATTTGTCTTTAAAATCCCAAAAGTGTCGAGTTCAAACCATTAACTATTTAATCATTTATAATGATCATTAAGCTTCAAAAATATACATTACTACTGTAATAGATTAATTCATAAAAATACATAGAAACAAAATAATTTTTGTTCTGTGAGCTTTTACATAACTTTTTTTCTACTTAAGAACAATTTTCTTATGCAGGGTATATGCATAAAAAACACTTTTGAATCAGTCTCTTTGGAAATGTACAGGAAAAAAATGCTTTAACATTGAAAAAAAAAAAGTGTCTAAAATGCAGTAAGAAAAATGCTCTTAGAACAATCAATATTCACTATGAAAGTAGTACCCTCATAATTTTTGATATTCATTCTAAGTAGTTTCAAGTAGTAATTGCAAAACAAAAGAAAAATCAGATTTTAGAGATGTTGATTTTCTATCCTTATTCTTAAAAGAAGAAAAAAAAATTACAAGTATTTATACCTTAGAGAGAGAAGCAATAAATCTCTTCCTAACTTCCTCTAATTTCAAAGTTAAAATGGAAAATTATCTTCTGGTAACAAAAATGTCTATCAGAGTTTACTTTCTTATCAAGTATGTCAGAAACAGCAAGAAAAAACAAAAATTTAGGGTGAATTTGAGTAATTTTTCATTTTTATATATTTCTATCATGTAGATAGGAAAAAAAGTTTAAACAAAGTACTTTCCAAAAGCATAATTTTAGTGAGAAGTAATCTGTCCATGTTTTCTACAAGTCCCTGAAAACAAACAGCTAATGAACTTATAGAATTCAAATGATAAATTTCTAAAATATTAGAGTCCTTGTACTTGAGAAGTATCACAGACAATGAATCAAACATGACGAATGATTAAATATAAAGACTCTATAAGACAATTATAAATAATCTAGAGGAAAAAACCTAAAAGTGCTATCAGATTACTTCTATATAAAAAATGGACCAAATCCATGGCAACACTAGAAATTACATCAGCTACTAATAAGTTATGCTCAAATTTCAAATTTCTTACTTAAAAATCCTGACCAATGATCAAACTGTTCTAATATACCTATTTATTTCCTATTAAGCTTTTATTCCATTGCATAGTAAAGATATATATACAAATCTAAGATGGACAAGCTGAGAATCATTCTATCTATTGGGAAGCCTTTTCCAGCACACTTGCAGCTGTTTTTAATAATATATTAAGACTACAGAATTTTCTTTGTCTAGTAGCTAACATACTGCTATACCTCACTGGTAGTAGTGGTTTCAGTTGTTATGACTATTTTTTAAAAATATGATGCAATAACATCAAATCAAAATATCTATACAGGAAGGGTTCTATTCAGGGCACTTAACTGCTAACCAGAAGGCTGGCAGTTCAAACCCACCAGCCACTCCTCGGAAGGAAGGTTGGGCAATCTACTTCCTCCATAGTGATACTGCCTTGGAAACCCAAGGAGGAGTCACTTTGTATCGGGTCCAACTCGATGACACATAACAACAACCACCACCACCACCTATTCTAGGTTCTAAGGCAAAATTTTCGTTAGCCTTTATAATGTAAATAAATAAATAATGAAATCCTTTTGAAACCAAAATGGTAAAATCTAAGAAATTTAATTTTATGAAAACATTTCCTACTATTTTTAACTTGTTGTTGTTGTTGTTGTTATGTGCCGTCGAGTCGGCCCCGACATTTTTAACTTACTAGAGATTAAAGCTAGAATCTATCTAGATATGTCAAATGAAACCACTTTACCTTCAAGAATGATCACACATAGTTCTGATGATTATCTTTGATGTACAGTTAAGTCCCTAGGTTAAGTCTAGGGACAACTCCTGCTTGACCTTTTATGTTATGTAAATTTGCCCTCCCTTTCAAAAGACAGAACTAGCAACAAATTCATCACAATCACCTTCACTTGCTGCATATGCAGCTTTTAAATCACTGAAAAGGCTTTGAGCCTTTTCTTGCACTAAAACCCAAAAAACCAAACTCACCGTGTCTAAGGCTTAAATAAGAATCTTATGCACCTGTTTCAAATCACCTACAAATTTTTAAAAGACACTTACAAATAGATCTTGTTCATAACCAGGGACTGCCTGTACCAACTTCTAAATCTATGTGAAACTTTATTAATAGATAGCAGAAATATAATAAGGAAACCAGGCTATGAACAAGTGTTAATGTATAAAGCCTACCTGCAATTTTTAGAAGTCTTTAAAGCAGACTTTCTCAAAATATTTTCCTCAGACAACCTGCTTCTGAATTATCTTGGGTGCTGGATTAAAATGCAAGGTCCAAAGTTCCAATAAACCTGTTAAATCTCATACTTTGGAGGGTCCAGGAATATGGATTTTAAACAAAGTGTCAAAATGTTTCTATAAACACTAAAATTTAACAACTACTACATTTGTGTATGTATGTGTGAGAAAGACAGAGAGAAAGCACACGTGCACTAGCACTCAGGAGAAACAGTGAGAGACAGAGGGAGTCTAAGCCACCTTATCTCTCCTCTGGATCACTGCCCACTGTTAGGGCTCTCTGGGTTGATTTCTGTCTCTCTATAGTAGGTAGCGGGAGCTCTGGTAGCATAGTGGCTAAGACACTTGCCTGCTAACCAGACGGCTGGCGGTTCAAACCCACCAGCCACTCCTCGGAAGGAAGGTTGGGCAATCCTACTTCCGTAGTGATACTGCCTCGGAAACCCAAGGAGGGGTCACTATGAGTCGGGGCCGACTCGACGGCACATAACAACAACAACAACAACAACATAGTAGGTAGCATAGTGCCTAAGGCACTTGACTGCTAACCAGAAGGCTGGTGGTTCAAACCCACCAGCCACTCCTCAGAAGGAAGGTTGGGCAATCCTACTCCTGTAGCGATACTGCCTCGGAAACCCAAGGAGAGGTCGCTATGAGTCAGGGCCGACTCGACAGCAAATAACAACAACATAGTAACAACAGGGAGCTCTGGTGCATAGTGCCTAAGACATTTGACTGCTAACCAGAAGGCTGGCGGTTCAAACCCACCAGCCACTCCTCGGAAGGAAGATGGGGCAATCTACTTCCATAGTGATACTGCCTTGGAAACCCAAGGAGGGGTCGCTATGAGTCAGGTCCAACTGGATGGCACATAACAACAACACAGTAACAACAAAAACAATAGTGTGTTTTAGGAACTCTGATAGTGTAGTGCCTAAGGTATTTGACTGCTGATTAGAAGGCTGGAGGTTCAAACCCACCAGCCATTCCACAGAAGGAAGATTGGGCATTCTACTTCCAAGATATACCACCTCAGAAATCCAAAGAGGGGTCACTGTGAGTCGGGAACTACTTGATGGCAGTGAGTGAGAGCCGATAGTGTATCTTCCACAAAACCAAAAAAACCAAACTCACTGCTGTTAGAATCCTGACATTATTTACTTTTTAAAAAAATTTTTGTGGTGAAAATATACAACAAAATCTTCCCCAGTTTTACAACTTCCACATGTACAACTCAGTAACTGATATATTTAAAGTACATACCATTTTTGTGGAAGAAACCAGTAAATGTAAGCTGCAGATGAGCTGACAAGCTAAACAAAACAAACAAAAATTTTATCAGTTTAATGTTCTATAATAAAATAATTAGATTTTAAAGTATAATACTGAAAGCAAAATTAGTTCAGCTAATTTATATTTGACTTTCTCATTCTTAACTACTGTTTAGGCCCGTAACTCCCTGCTTTCCCTGTTAAGTTTGACATCCACAACAGAATGTCTCTACACCTTAAAAAAAAAAAGTATAGAGTAAAGCAAGAAAAAACACAGCACTGAATGAGAGCAAGCTAATTTGCCATGCTTTAGTGCCTTGCCTACAAAATGGGGACAAGTTTCCCTTCCCACCTCTCAAAAGGAAATTTTTATAAGGGTAGCTGAATCCATGCAAATGTTTTAATATTTAAATATTTTTAAATATTTAAAATTCAGGCTTTCTAACAATGATGATGCAAAACCATTACTTTCTACTTATATTAGGAATGAAGTACCTATTTTCAGTTTCCTATGTCATTTACAATTTTAGTTTTAGTAGTTATGGAAAAGAAAACACGAACTGCAGTGATCCTTTTCATTTGAAAAACACCTAACACTAGGAAAATTGTTAAGACTGGATAGAATAAACAAAGTATCAGCAGGCTTTTATAGTACCTTCTAAACTGTAAGAGAGCAATTTATGTGTTGATCAGGAGTCATTCATAACTTCCCTAGGCATGTGTCTGTGGTGTGATACAGACCAGAGTGTAATATGCTATAGAGAATAGGAGTCTTTGGCTGGTGCAAATGGTTAATGTGCTCAGCTACTAACCGAAAGGTTGGAGGTTTAAATACACCCGAAGAGGCTCAAAACAAAGGTCTAGTGATTCACTTCTGAAAAATCAGCCATTGAAAACTTAACGGAGCACAGTTCTACTATGACACACTTAGAGTCATCAACTGGTTTTACAGAGAATAGATGTTGGGGAAACGGAAACAGTAATTATCTCTTTACTCAAAAAATTTACTAGTGAAAAAAGGAAAGTAAATACTTAAAGAGCAACAAGAATTAGTAAAGAGATTGTGGTTTTTGTTTTTTTTTTTAAGTGATAGTGACAACTGAGACGTTTTTATAATTGGGAAAGATAACAGAAAGATAAGGAAACAAGAGAGTGTTAAGGAGCAAAAAATGATTGGAAATAAGGACATATTATGAAGAGGTTAGCCTTGTAACTTTGCCCGGATGCCTCGTTTACTAAAATAAAGAAATAAAAAGCAAGTGATTAGATATTTCAACAAATAATGCAATATCTCTATGTTCTTAATATAGGTAGCCATGAAACTGCTAAAAAAAAACAAACTGTCATGAGAGGTGTATTTAAATAAAGGATGCAAGGATATTAGAAGACAAGACTAGGAAACCAAAGATTCAAGTAGAGTTAGAAAACATAAATGACGGGAAAACCAAGAATTAACAAAAATGAGAATGGTTTACAATGGGATTCCTGAAAACAGGTAATTCGTATAGTATAAATGATTTTACATGACTTCCTTTCTGATATGAGTCCAGTTCATTTTAAAAGTACACCAAGAATAGGATGAGGAGGAAGGGCTGACTTTTATAAAGGTGGCATGAAGGAATTTCAGGGCTCTATATCTTGATTGCAGTGCTGGTTACTCAACTAAATATATTTGTAAAAACTTAGAACTGTACACCAAAAAGAGTAATCTAATTGTAGGGAAATCACACCCGTTTTTAAAAAGTACATTAGGAGGCCTGACTGCAAAGAGGCAAAAAGGAAATTTCCAAGGTGAAGGAAATGTTCTGTATCTTGACTGTAGTGAAAGTTACAAGTGTATAACTTTGTTAAAACTCAAATTACATACTTAAGATGGGGGCATGTTATTATATGTCAGTAATACTCAAAGTTGATTTTTAAAAAGTACATCAGCCATCTGAAAAATTTATATGACATTTTTATTAAAAAGACTGCCAGCATTTTTCTATAAAAATAGTTCCATACACCTTACAATCAAAATTAGCTAAACTCCACAACAGAGAGGAATATTCAATTTCCATGTTGGAAGATAATCCATTAGTCACCACTAATCTATCCTACAGATACGTATCTATCCTATAGATAGACTGGTTGCTCCAACTAAGCCTACACACTACACAGGATGATTTTCTTAAAACACCATTTTGTATGTATCAGCTTTCTCCAAATTTTCTAAGGAGTCTCCACTGCCAAATGTTTGTCTAGTCATCTACAACATTTTTATTCCCACGAAATCCTTATGTAAGGAACTCTGGTGGTATAGTGTCTAAGACATTTGACTGCTAACCAGAAGGCTGATGGTTCAAACCCACCAGCCACACCACAGAAGGAAGACTTGGCAATCTACTTCTGTAAAGATCTACCACCTCGGAAACCCAAAGGGGGTCGTTATAAGTCAGAATCAACTCAATGGCAGTGAGTGTGATTTTATGGTTTGAAATCCTTATGTAGAGAAACAGAATTCTAGGTATTAGCTATGACCTCCTATCTGTAAAATTATAGATTAACCCCCTCAAGATTGTGAGGCTTTTATAAAATAATAAAGTATTCTAGCAAAGTACTCTCCCTCTTCTACAAAAACCCAAGCTCCAACCACCTGAAAGTCTAATGATCATTTCTTTCCTTTATTAAAAAAAAAAAAAACACTGCCATTGAGTAGATTAGACTCATAGCAACTCTTCCTTGGGTTTCCAAGGCAGTATCTCTGCAGAAGTACATTGTCCAGTCCTCCTTCTGTGGAGTGGCTAGTGGATTTGAATCGCCAGCCTTCTGGTTAGCAGTCAATTGCCCTAGGGACTACGCCACCAGAGTTCCCCTTTCCTTTACAAGCACATATATTTACCATTTATTTGGCATTATATTTTCATACACATTCTTTCTCAATGAGGTATAAACTCATATGAAACTAAGATTATTGTATTTTCATGCCTAGCACCTAGCCGTGTCTTACAGAAAGGCAAAACAAAAGATTTTCATAAGGGTAATGACGTCCTCCTAGAGTTCTAAGATCTTTGAGGACAGAGATTATGACTCATTACATAGTCCTCGATTAATGAATATTCAAATTATAAACTGCACTTAGGACCACCTGTTTTTCTTTTGGTACATCTTATTGTTAGTAATATATATTACATACAATCCATCAGCAAATCTGTAACTTTGTATGTCATGTTTCCAACCACCAAAGACAAAGACTAGATTTATAAAGATCCTGATAATAAAAGGAACTAATAATGAAAACTGAAAAAGAGGTATTAGATTTATGTTAAAACCAACTAATGATGGAGTCCTTGGAAAGGAAGCCCATTTTAAGTTGGGGACTACCTGTTCTGCAGTACTAACAGTATTATTTACTTTGCTTTTATGGAAAATTTGATTCTAAACTCAAACTCTGAAATGCCAAAAGTATTATCTTGCATTCATCTACTCTAGAACTTATTTTAAATCAATGTTACTCACAAAGTGGTCTGCAGACTGATATCATTAGGCAAACTGTTACCATTCCACAACAAAAATTTGAGAATAAAACTTTAAAAAACTTTTACAGTAATTCAACAGTGGCATACATCCAAACAAGTGATCAGTGTATTTTATAAAAGTATCACTCTATAAAACACTGGAAATTAAAAAAGATCTCTTCACCACAGATAGTTGGAGGCACTGGTTTCAAATGCTGAATTACGTGTTAAGTGAGATAGCCTGCACATTCAGCCAAAATTACAACATTGTTTCTTTCAGAAAAGCAATTACAAATTTCAATTAACCTACTTAAAAAATAACTTTTGAGAATATGGCTTGCTATGCATCACTTTCCACTCCCCCACTAAAAGTAAACACTCTGATATGCATCTAGAATAAAGTGAAATAATGAGGCCCAATCACTCCTTCCATAGGTAACTTCATCTGAGGAAAAGGACAAAGTTTTCTTTCTCTTCCCAATTCACTCTCTCCCCTCTCTTATAGCTAGTAAGTCCACATTTTTTTAAAACTGGTTAAGGTGGATCAGAGGAAGGAAAAGAAAATAAACATGTAAGGTTGCTCAGGCCTATTTGTCTTAGGCTGCACAGGATCCAGTTTACACGACCATAAGATATCAGATAAGGATTTGATTCCTTTAGCTGATATGTTCCCTTCTCTGTATCCTCAGGAAGCAAGCAATGTAACAATAGGAAACTAGATGGGGAATTCGAAATTTTGGGATACCAGAGTCCAAGCACAAACATCTTACAGTTTTGAAGCAATCTACAGAATGAGGTTAAGTTCATAAAGCACTAGCATTTTTGAACCAAGATTCATGTAGGAACCTCAAATTTTAAGAATAACCAGACCCCATAAAGGGACTAAAGTTTTTATGCTAGAAAGAGACTAAAATTAGTGCCTCTACTTAGTATACATTAATCTGATAGTAAGAGGTGTAAGATTTCAATTCTAGGGTCAATGCTATACTACCTTAAAACAATACAAGTCTATTGATAAGCTATTTGACATCTGCATTATTAGGATACTAGCTATCTAACTTTTCTTATATTTTTAATCCTGAGATATATAAAGCAATCACTGACTACATCAAGCCCATTACTCTGGAATCCAGTCTCAAAAATATGGGGTTCAGACATAAAAATGTGAACAGTTTGTAGTGAGAAGATAAAGTTGAAATGTTGTGTGTGTGCAGGGGAAGGGTAGGGTTCCTTATGCTTAAATGACTCACCTTCAACAATTATGGCAGAAGAAACAAAGGGACTATTACAAACCTAAAGATTAGATAAGGAAATTTTTAAAAATTTATTTTGCAACAGTGATTTTATGGATCAGATAGGTTCAGTAACAAGTGATGAGGTAGCCTTAGGAACAGATATGTAAAAAGAAATTTATGGCTCAGATTCTGAAAAAAGAACAACTAAAATTCAAGAGTGAAAATATGCCAATTTGAAAAACATTTCAAATCTACAGTGAAGATGAGATTGTAGGGAAAAAGAAAGATGAGGACAATCAGATCTTACTAA